CGGAAATCCGTTGTTGACGCGCCGCCACGTACTGATGGTCCCGGGTTCGGCTCAATGTTCTCCTCAACAAGGCGCTCCTTCGCAGCATCTAGCAAAGCCTTGACTCGCTTGGGCCTTGGTCTCGATGCGTCGCCACGTATTGATGGTCCTGGGTGCGGCTCGATGTTCTCCTCAACGAGACGCTCCTTCGCAGCGTCTAGCAAAGCCTTGACCCGCTTGGGCCCTGGCCTCTGGGAGCCTCCGGGCTTACCTCCGAGGGTGAGGAACTGGCTCACGTCGCAGTCGGGGTGATAGCTTTCGATGTGCCATCGCCGTCGGTCCTTCAGTCTTGCCTTGGTGTCTGCGGTGACCTTGCTTTTGCAGACGGTGCATGGCCAGCAAAGCTTGCCCCTGTGCTTGAAAACCGGGCTGCTCACGACAACCTGGGCATGATGCTTCGCGACGTGGCGCCGTCCTTCATCTTGGAGTTTGTGTGCCTCCTTGCCATGGAACTCCACCTCACAGCGGCTGCACTTCCAAGTCCATGTCTCCGTCTCCTCGTCGAAGGTCATGGGGATGTCGGTGCAGTACGGATGCTTGGTATGCCCAGCAACAGGTCTCGGCACGCAGGGAGGCGACGTCGGAGAGGAGCTCGCCGCTCTGTCCCTTCGTTTCTGCTGGACGTCCTTGGAGGCAGCAAGGAACAGCTTCCTCACAGCTGTGCGCGGCCGAGGGGCCCCGAGCTTTTGTTGGAGCTTGTTGCCGTGCGTTCTCAGAAGGGCCTTCTCCTCCCTCGTGAGGCTCAGGACGGAGCTGATGGCTGACCGGTTGATCTTTACCTCCCAAGCCTTTCTGAAACCTTTACTGCGCAGGTGCTGAGGACGGTCTGCGTGTCCCCGGCACGGCTCAAGGTGTCCATTGTCCGCCGCAAAGCGTAGAGTGCTGAGGTGGGCATGGATCTCACAGCACTTTCTGCATCCCCAAGAGCCACGTACGCGCGGCTCTTTGATACAGACCTTGCGCGGGATCTGCGCGAAATCATGCCCCGTGTGGCGCTGGATCTCGGTGACCTCCTTGAGGAGCTTCAAAGCAGAGCGCATGCTTCTCTGATGACTCGCCTTGGCGACTGACTTGTTGAGCCATGGGTAAGACTCAACCTTGCCGCCCAGCTTGACAATCTCATCGAGGACCGCAGGGATCGAAAGGCGATCACTGGCCGTCTCGGCGCGCAGGGCGGCCAAAGCACAATCCACAGGCACATCTGGTAGGTCGCCGAGTTCAAGGGCAGCAGACGACTTTCCAGACGAGCTCGCTCCGGGAATGGATTGCTTGCCATTCAGCTTGTGGCGTCGCGGTCCGCCTAGCACCATGTTGGGAGGAGCCTGCGCGTCATCGCCAACAGGGCCACTCGCCACCGTGCTGGGAGGGCGCGGCGGAAGCCAGGCCTTGCTCTCTGAAGCCGTTCGGCTTCTTTTTGCCGTTCGTGCACTTCCCGCCGCCTGTGAACCACCTGAGGAGGAACGCGGAGGGAGCCAAGTCTTGTCACCGGCAACAGTTGGGCAAGCATCCTCGCCCGAAAGGTCCTGAGCGGGCCTCTTACGCGACCCCGAAGCTGGTGAGGAGCATCGTGACGGGAGCCATCTCGTAGGCGCCCTGTCTGACGAAGTAGCCCTGGCAGAGGAAGACGAGGCTTTTGAAGAGCACCGCGAAGGTAACCACCCTCCCCCTCTGGGCACGACCGTAGTGTGTCCTCCTGCCGGCAGGTTCAACCATTCATCAGGCAAACTTTTCCCACTCTTGGGCGTGATCAGCTGGTAATGCTTGTCCTTGTAGAGAAGCGGGATCACCTGCTGCTGTCGGTCGTCCTTAAACTGGATGGGCTTGCCATAAGCGATCACCTGCGAGGGTTTAAGGACGTCCCCCACGACAAGGATGATGCGGCAGTTCATTCGCTTGGTGGTGGCTCGGAAAGCGAGATCGTCTGCCCACCTGCCGGGGCGATCAAGTGCCTGCAAGTATTCATCCCAGGTTTGGGGCGGGGTGCCGCCCTCCATTTGCTCAAGGTTCTCTTTCTCGGTCTCGGTTGCCGGCTCTGGGGGAGGAAGCCAAAAAGCTTTGAAGGTGTCCGGCTTCTCGCGGATGTAGTCAGCGATCTCCGCCTTAAGCGTCGCCCCACGCGTCTTGGCAAGTTTGCACGCGTCTGGCCACTGGAAGTTGTCTCTATACGCTGCGTAATGTGCCCCAATCGCATTGTAAAAACAATTTCCAGATCCGCCGCACTCGCGTACTTCGAACCATTCTTCTGTGTGTCCCTTCGGGGATCTGGACCTGGCCTGGGCTCCACCGTCAGCTTGAGCCGGTCTTCCACGGGGATCGATACCATCATCGCTTCCTTGCTGATTGCCTTTAGCTGGGCCCTTGCCTTTGCCGTTGGCGGGAGTTCCACCTGACGTAGTTCCAGTTGCCGGTGCCTTGTTGGTGCCCGGAGCAGTCGAGAGCACCTTTCGAGTAGAGCCCGGAGTCAGTCTGGTAGCCTCCACGTTCACCAACTTCCGCTTCGCGGTCGCCCTCTCCATGTCCACGATGTGCTTGCCAACCTGAATCGCTAGGGCAGGCTGCCCTCCATCACCTTTCAGCTTGGCTCGCAAAAGCCACGGTACTTGTGCACGACCAGGGGCGAGGACTTCACACTCTGAGAATCCGGCGGCACTCAAAGCACCAATGAGGTCCTCTTCAGCCCAATCTCGCGGCACGTGCCTTGCCCTCCATGTGCAGGCGCGATCGCCAACCTGATCCGGAGCGACCCTTAGTCCCAGCGAGGCGCCACCGCCGCGACGATAGGCCAGTGACGTCTTGAGAGAAAGAGCCTTACGCTGGGCCATGTGAAGGTAAGCAGGGCCTACGGTTTCACCAGCCGGGAGCCAGTCCACCACAGGTTTCACAGCATCCTTGGCCAGCTCCGCCACAAAGATGCCGTCTGTACCTGATTTCGCTAAGACCGCGTTCTTATCCGCCGTGGCCACCTTGCCGTAGCACTCGAGGACCATTTCGCGGTGGCCATGTTCACCCGCCTGCAGTTTCTGCCACGTCCCGAAAGCATGGAATGGCCCTAAAGCGTTCTTGGTGTGCTCATTCGGCTTGTTGCAGAAACTCGCCCAAGCCTCAGTATCTTTGAACTCCTTCGGCACCTGAATCCGTAGAGTAATCAGCTGCCGGTCTGGTACAGTGAAGCTCGATTTCAAGACAGCTTTGTGTTTGATCTCGGGTCCTCCTCCGCCTCCTAGTGGCACAATCGGCCATGATCTCACTTGCTTTTGCCCGCGCGGCCCTATGGACGGCAGCTGGACGGTCTTGGCCTCGGTGTCGGTGTCAGGGGTAAAACGACAAATCACCGCCACTTTGTCCTTCAGCTCATGGGTACGTGCCAGGGCCTGGAGAGAGTCCAGCTCGGACTGTTCACACGCTATCACAAGATGAGCAGACAAGGCGATTCCGTCTGACAACCTCTTTTTCGCGATGCCATAGCCGATGACGCCTCCGACCAGCGGATCAAGTGTCCACTGCTCAACCGGGGCTTTGGTTGGTTTCTTGGACCTGACAATCGTCCAAGAGTCTCCGTGAGCCTCCTCCCCCACCGGCCGACAGAAATCGGGTGCCACTGATTTGGGATTCTGCTCATGTCCTCCGCCTTCGTGCTCGTTGCCCTGACTATGAAGCTTAGCTCTCATGCGACGAGCTGCCCGCCCCTGCCCGTAGCCAGCGACAGCCCTTTGCACAACAGCTTGCACATTATCTAACAACGTGCTCGGGTCCTTCCTTGCCTCCTTCACGATGTGCTCCAGCGCCTGCAGCAAGTCCGCGTCGTTGCTGATGTTGCTGCCCTGGCCTTTGCCCTTCTTGTTTGCCCCCTCGCTCGAAGTCGTAGTCGAGGAATCGTTCGTTTCCTTGTTCTTCTTGCCCTTGCCCTTTGCCTTGCCCTTGGCGTCACGCGATTCTTGCCGCTTGACCTTCACCAGGAGCTCCTGCAAGCCGAGCAACAATTCACTTTGGCCACCTCCTCCGCGACAAAAGTCTGCCCATCTCGCCCAGCCCGTGGTGGTCTGGACCCAATCCCAAGGCGCAATGTTCTCGATGACAGCTGTGCCAGCGCTTCGTCCAGCAGTTGCCATGCCATGGCTAGCGATCGCGGGCGCTTGCCTAGACCCTGGGAGCCCGGCAGGGCTAGTGTCCCCCGTCCCCATTAATGGGCTTTCAGCCCCAACAGGTGGGCTCTCGGCCTCTTGCACTCGTTGGCTTTTGTCATGGCCCTCGGCCTCTTTTGCCCTTTGACTCTTGTCCGGGCTCACGGCCTCTTTCACTCGTTGGCTTTTGGTTTGTTCTTGTTTTCGACAAGACCTACCAAAACCCCTACAGTCCCGTCCTGACGCAGGTAGAACAGCAGGGGCGCCCCAATGAAGACTGATCTCCACCGGCTTCTCCACAATCAAGCATGTACTGCCAATTCTCGGGCCACAACGGTGGCCTTGCCATTTCCTGATGCGCCGCCCTGGTACTCGACGGCCTCCAAGCCAAAGAGCAGCAAAAGCGACGATACGTTCGTCCCTATGGGCTTTAGGGGGTTTTGGGGGTTTTCTCCTTCTTCGCTGTCGTCTCCGTCTTTCCACAGACATGCGCTTCCGCAGATGCGCCACCTGCCCTCGCAGGAGGCCAGCTGCAGTCGGTGCACCAGGCTTGTGCTGGCAATAGCCAAAACTTTCGAGAAGTCCTCGTAACATAAAGGCGCAGATGATTCCCGTAACCATGAGCGCCCAGTTTGCACTTTGAATTTCGTCACCTGCCGGTGCCCAAATCAGCAGGTTCCGCTGCCACCGAGGGACTCGTCGGTCCCAGGAGGTATTCACTTGGCAGCCCCAGCTAGATCCCCAGCTGTTCC